ACAATAATTCAAGGTAGAGGATAACCCATGAGACTAATAATTTGTACAAAATACTAACTAGAATAATAGGGGCTATTGCCCCTACAAGCCACTAGTACAATTATCAATAAACATAAGTTATTTTTTGCCTCTGGTCCTAATTGATACCTATGAAATTTATCCAACAACAATTATTCAGGGAAAAACTATACCAAAACAAACAAAATTAAGAAAGTACAGTCATTAGACTTCTAACATGTAAATGTTACAGAGAGTGCCATCCAAGAACAAATTACTCCTCGTTTAGTGTGATTTGAAGTGTTTTTGACAGTTTTACATTTTACCATGTGTATGATTTTTGAATGAAATCCTTGCTATGTATCCATCACAACTACCTGTTATGAATAAATGTTTGTGATTACAACATCTCAAGGCATTACGTTGATCTTAAGTAAGCATTCAAACTGGCTCGTTTACCATATCCGCACTGCCATAAACACAATTAACCTTATTATAGTTGACCATTGTACATTTATCAGCTCATTAATGAGATCAAGATGACGCCCAACCACTGACATAACGTACTACCGTGAGGTGTTCATTCGAAATATATGATACATTTTACTGTGCTAGGACTGTTTGCATTATCGAAAAAATATAAAGTATAACCATAGATAAAACATACTCCCTTATGTTGCTTAGTCTATGGTATAACACACAAAACTGTTAATTGAATACATTAATTAATATGTACTGTAGAACAGTACATAGCATTGACTTTGCCAAAGATGTCACCTTGTACATTTTTTTATGGAATTTTATTCATATTTGAATTTTACCTTAATCACTGGCATTGGATTGATGAAACATTGAAAGTAATAATCGATCTCCTTCTTACAATTAATAAAATACTGTAATGGGTTTCTCGGTATCACCTATTTTTTGTCCGGCATACTTAACAATTTTTTACGATATAGGGTTTTTTGTAGGATGACTTTTATCTTAAGTGAACCACACTATCCCCCCAATACAATAAAATTAACAACAACAAATTTTCTTTGGAGAACTTAATTGAGGAGAACTCAATCAAAATCGCCTAGGAAACCCTATCTTTGTTATTTCCGTACCTATAGAAGGAGTTTGCGTATGACAATTATTGTTTTGTCACAATCGTTATTCTTTAAAAGTAGATTATTGTATCGTAGTATGTAGTATCCTTATTATCCTTATATCCTAAATATCCTTATTTAATTGCACCCAGCTTTCTTCTATTATTGTATTTTTATAAATAATCCTGTCTAAAGAACTAACGGATAAGTAATCTACACAGATCATTCACTGCATTTTACACTCGTTGTGCATTTATTGCCAGCTAAAATCCTCTATTATCACGATTATGATTGGTTAGTAACCTGATGTGATAAATTAAAAGTGAAATAATTGACTATTACTTACTGAATAGTCGTATCAATAGTCATAAGTGAATTGATTTTCACACACACAACTAAACCTTTAAAAAATCAGTTGACAAAGTAAACTTTAACTGAAACCCGCTGAAATGCGATACAATGTTTCCACCACGGGAAAAGCTCCCATAAAGCTTCCTAGTAAAAAACCTTCTGAAACTACGACTACGACTCCGAAGCGCGGGCTCGCTCACACGTGTTCCCGCCAATTTCTTTTTATGTTGCCGCCATTTCGGCACGTACGTGTTAAACCACGTTTCCTGTTTTCGGCGCGTTAATTTAATGAACTCTTCATAAAATTTAACGAGTGGCGGTTTATTAATACCAGGGCCGGACGCGGAACCAAGCGATTACCGACCTTTTTAAGGTGTTAAGCTGTTGGTGGTAACGTGCGGTAAAACGTGAAGGTGACGCAATGTGAGGTTAAATTTATATTGTCGCACTGCCATCCGACACGTGATAAAGTTTTAGTGACAATAAACCGTTGTAGAGGGCGAAAGTAAACGTCTATGAGGAACTGTAACCGTTATAGCAGAGAGGACTCGACTGCACCGACGTGTAACTTCAAGGTCTAGAAAAACGTGTTAAAAACTAAAAATGTTTAATGTAAATATGAATTTGTCTTAACGTCTATTTATGAACTTAATTTAATATGGTTCAAATATAAAAAAAAATTACTGAGTGAAACATAAGTTATATTAATTAGGGGGTTGATCAAAATTATAGAAGATATAGAAGAGTTGTCGAACCTAATATTATTTTTACAAATTTAAATCAACGGCACGTTACATCCATGTACTCCATGTACTCTAAACCGAAAATTACAAAGTCCCGGACCTATAGGCTACCTTACCATGATTGTACTACGGCAAAAGCCAAGATTCTTTATATTTGCTTCAATTATATTCATTATATTTCCTTTAGTGTATTCCCTTATAAGGAACTCATGATTTGAAAGCCAACTGAAGATATAATTGAAAAGTGGAGTTAATCGTCTCAAATATACAATAATCCAATACCACTTCACATAATTGCTCGAAGTATTCCTTATGATTTTTTAAAGAAAGGGAGAGATGTAATACGACCACTAACGATTAACTGAACCATCCCCTTGTGGGGGACATTTTGTGGTCTGTTACTTAAAGGAATTGAAACGGCGAGGAGGCGAACTGATCATTGAGAATAAGATACCCCTTGTATGAAACAGTCGTTAAAAGTTTTCTCCTCGACATCAATTATTTCCTAATTGGTTTGGTTGTTAGTGGGATGCATTACTATGGTTTCAGAACATAGCGTCAGGGAAATAACGTAAAGAAACCCTAGGGATATATTTTTTATTAGTGTTAAGTTACTAGATTAAGTATGACGAATGGGTTGATAAGTGGATTTTAGAAAATCCCGGGGACATATTCCCAAAACCTGAAAACACCTCTTTCTCAAAACTTATAAAAATCCATACGAGTTTTATTTCTTTATTGATACAAATGCAATACCGTCATTCTAAAACTTACTTAACATCAATGAAATTTTTCAAGATGTCAATATACAAACCCTTTCTCCAAAAACTACCAAAAGAACTACAGATCTTTCCCAAAAGATACAAAAAAAATCAATATCATTTCCCCAAAGCCTACTAATAAACCTGCTAGCATAATAATGGCATTTCCCCGAAACATAGCAAAAATCATATTTTTCTCACTACTGTACTTTCATAGAATCAATGCTGTATCAACCAAACTTGGAAATACAATACTTTTTCCATATGCATTGGGAGAGAAATTTAAAAACAATTAATGCCATTTCACACAAATAAAAATATAAATTATTTCGTAGGGTATAGGAATGCCTAATTAAAAGAAATCGTGTATTTCTCAACCTCAAGCCACTCCATATGCCAACACGAGCAATCTACGATGTCATCTACTTTGTATTGAAAATCCCAGTAGTACAGAAACCCCCGGTTGAGTAACCCGCTTCACTATACAGCTGTCACAGTCAACCTCAAGTTGCTATCAATGTCAGCGCAGTTGTACTTTCACCCAACTGCGCCACTGAATGCAGTTCGACCTGACGCGTGTAACAATTAATAGTCAATGTCAAGGCCGTCGTTACATAACGTGCGTTATGCCACTTTCTCGATGCAACCCTGTCATTTCTACTCACGGATGGATTAATATCTTCTGTGTGCGTCTCCGTGTGTTTCTCTTTGACGTACCTTTGGGCGGAGGATGCGTTTGGATAAGTGTTGTTTGTGATTCGGTTGTACCACATCCACTATTGTCTGTGGTTGTACCCAAAAGGTCAAATGGTTTAAGTGCATTTTACCAGTTGGAACAACTTCACTTCGTTTGTGTTGCAAAGCAGACTAGTCACATTGACAGGTGTCAGTGCTGAACACCAAGTGACTATTTAGCCTAGATATGTTTTAAAAGCAATGCAACTATTTTTAGGTATTGGCTTGGTATTGAACACCTTAACCACACTTTAACCAGTTTTAGAAAAACTATACACATCCTGTAGTAGAGTTTACCCATCGACTGAGAATTCTACTGTCAATTACTGAATTAACGTCAAATTCACCAAGTTAACCAACTTAAATAATAATCTTTTTAACCGAGCCAATCCAAAATACAACTTATTTCTATGTAAAGATGATTGCATTTCAAATCAACCATTACAAAAACAAAAAAGGGAATCATTAATCATTTGAATCATTAATGAACAAAAACTCCCTGCACTTTAAATTACCTCGGAATCAAACTCAACCTCGCATTTCTACTTCTACATCGCGATACTTTTTTACTAAAAACAACTATTCTCCACAATTACTAGGGGAACTAATACCGCTGATTTTCCATAGATTGCAGCAATTACCAATACGCATGAGAATGCACCTTTCCAATCGCAACTTATTCGGAATCGCGTCCATCACGCGACATACCGAAGGTGACTGAAAGAAAGTAGTATCGAAGGTGCGTAGTGATCTGTCACCAAATAGCGATGGAAGAAAGATTACCGGGAACGTTAAAAGCAAAAGGAAAATCAAGAATGATAATGAAGCCAAAAGTGGAATGTCCGATCACAAAGGGAGGCCGCGCGAGTTGACTTTCGCTGGGTTTTTGCTCGACTAAGTATGTTACTGGAGTACGACAGACGAGTTGGCGGGAAAGTGTTGGCGGTTCCTTATACTCTGGTCAAGGTCGATACGATAATTGCAAGGTTGTCTATCGATAAAACGAATAGCGATGTGCCGATGTAGCGAAGGAGGACTTGCAAATAGAGGAGCAGGTCTAGGAATGGAGAGCAAGAGTACTTGAACTGGCCTGCAGGAGCTTATGTGTGTGTGCACCAGCGAACACATAAGACCAATCTGGTCTTATGTGTTGGTCTTATCTTGGTCTTATGTGTTCGCTGGTGTGCACCAATAGCATTTTTGAGCGAAAGAGCACTTCAATGATTCAATGATTCAATGATTCAATGATTTATTTGGCCATTAAGCAAAGCAATAGGCTAAGTCAATACAATACAATACAAAGTAAATAATAAATAGTCTCTTGATTCACAAATAAAATGCAGTTAGATAAATATAATAATAAGGAGAAATAAAACCATGCAAAACCATGCAAAAAAAAAAAACAGGCAAGAAAATAGCCATGCAAGGCAGTCAGTGCATGAGCATTACCTATAACAAAACTGGTAGTCCTACTTTATAAAATTCAGAGAGGTCATAAAAAGGGTTTTCTATCAACCAGTCCTTCACTACTGCCTTGAACCTTGAAATAGGCAAGTCCCTTATGGCTACTGGTAGGTGGTTGAAAAATCTGTAACCTGAAACAGGGAAGCATTTAATTGTTCTGCTCAGCCTGTGTCTATGTGCAAAAACATTTAAACAATTTCTTGTGGCATAGTTGTGTACTTGGTTGTTTCTCAAAAGGTGCACTTCATTTGCCTTAATTTCTAAAAGACATTGAAAGATATATACATTATATACAGTCATGATGTGGTTTTGTTGGAACAGAGGACGGCAGTGTTCCAGGTACTGGGCTCCACTCAGCACCCTGACAGCCTCCTTTTGCAACACTAGGATTTTACTTACACCAGAAGAATGGCCCCAGAGCCTGGTTCCGTAAATAATGATGGAGTGGAAAAAAGCAAAATAAGAGGCTCGAATGAATTCCCCAGACAAGTCAGTACTCAGTCTTCTGAGCAGGAATATGACCCTGCTCAGCCTACCGCACACCAACTCTATGTGGTCTCCCCAGGTGAGGTGTGGGTCCAGAGTGAAGCCCAATAACTTCACAGGTCCAGTCTTTTCACATGCCATGTCCAGACTGAAGGTCATTGATTGGGTTTTGGACTCATTCAAAACAAGTTTGTTATCATTGAACCATGAGGTGGCCATGACAAGAAGGCTTTCAACCTTAGATCTAGAAATACTGAGGATGGGATCCTTGGCAAACAGGGTAGTGTCATCAGCATAAAATATGGCTCTACCAGACACATGGTAGTACAAGTCATTAATAGACACAAGGAACAGGAATGGGCCTAAAATGGAGCCTTGAGGAACACCATGATTCACAGACAAAAGAGAGGAGTTTCTACCTCTCCAAGATACTACCTGTTGTCTATTGCTAAGATAGGACCTGAGCACCTTGAGTGCATCGCCGCGTACGCCATATCTTTCCAGCTTCAGGATTAGGATATTGTGTGAAACACAATCAAATGCTCGTGAAAGGTCACAAAGCAAAACTGAGACATTTAATCTATTTTCAAGTGAGTTGAGCACAGTCTGGAGAAGGGAGTCCACTGCCGAGACAGTAGACCTGCCCCTCCTAAAACCAAACTGAGCTGGCACAAGCAGGCGATGGTCCTCAAAGTGCTCGTACAACTGTTCTAGCATAACAGCTTCAAACACTTTGGCAAATATGGGGATAATAGCAATAGGCCTATAACTACTGACATTGTCATGGGCTCCTTTCTTAAACACTGGGACTACCCTGGATATTTTCATTGCATCAGGAAAAATTCCCTCTTTCAAACAAGCATTGATCACATTTGCAAGGTGATTTGCAACATAGTGGACAAAACCTTTTAGCAGATCAGTTGACATATCAAAGTAATCTTTACTTTTAGATTGCTTGAAACTGTGAACAATTTTAATTATGTTAAGGGCAGTAACAGGCTTCCAAGAAAAGTTGAAGGGAACCAAAGGAACCTTTTCCAGGTTACATCCAGTACTGTCTACATTGGGGTTAGCCCCTTGTGAAATATTATTTACAGTGCTACAGCTGTTTACAAGTTCCTCCACAGAGTTAAGGAAATATTCATTAAAATCCTCTGCTTTAGCAAATTCACAACTAACAGGAGCTGACTTAGTCCTAGTTCCCTTAATAAAATCCCAAGCTGCTTTACAGGGATTAGGTGCCTGTGAGATAGATGAGGCAAGGTAAGCTTGTTTTGCCTCTTTTACTTTTATTTTATAATCAGTCCTCAAACTCCTTAAATAAGGTATGAGAGCAGGGTTACTTTTTGAAATATCGCTAACTAGGATTACTTGATCTCTCAACTTAGACAACTCTGGATTGTACCAGTTACCAGACTTCTTAATTTTATTGTTTTGAGTAGGCCTACTATCAGTTATCTTTGTTTTGAGTGGGACACAAGAGTCAAAAGCATACTTAATGTTGTCAAAAAAATATGTAAATGACATACAAGCTGGAAGATAGGCCAGAGATTCATTCCATAAATTCTGATATGATTTCAACACATCGTGAAATGCCTTAATATTTGATGGGCTGAGTAACCTAAAGCTAACCTTAAAACTAAGTTTACCAGCTAACAGTTCCTCCCCATTCAAGTCAAATTTAGGTCCAGTAGACAAACTTAGGATGACATGTTGATGGTCAGCAATCTGGTCTCTGCTAACCCAAGCACGATAGTTCCAGCAGTCAAAGTTGGTTAAGAATGTGTCCAGAGATGCTTTACCTCTTGTTGGCTCAATAATACTACTATATATATTGAAACTACGTAGTAGGTTTAAAAAATCACGAGCCTCACTTGTAGGCTTTAGTAAATCTATGTTATGGTCAGTTCCAATAACCACAGAGAGACCAAGAGTGGTGAGATAATAAAGACATTGGTTCAGAAGTCTTAAGAAAGTGAGAATACTACCACTCGGTGACCTGTACATTGTAACAACAACAAGAGATAGTTCATGTATTGCTACAGCTGCAAATTCACCTTGCACTTCAATAGAAAAGTTACTTAGGTCCAAAGGTATACAGGTAAGTTCATTGCGCACAAACAATGCCACGCCACCCCAGGGGCGTGAACGACAAAAATGGGATACAAGGTTGAGATTTGAAATTTTACTATAATAGTCTATTTCATCGTTTACCATCCAATGCTCTTGAATACATAGAATGTCAATTTTTTGTTCCATGCACAGAGCTTCCAAAAGAGGAATTTTGTTTCTCAAGCTTTGAGTATTTACAGTACAAAAGTTAAAGATATTTTTACAAGCAGCACTGGGCTGACAGATCACATCCTTTTCCCTAAAAAAGTACGAGAGGGCACGTAGTCTCGGTTTTGTCTAGGCCTAACCTCAAACTCCTTAACTAAGGCACCAACTGGCCAAAAGGACGAATCGAGAACTCTGGTAATCTCCGCTGGAGATATTCCTACTTTAAAAGAACTGTACGAGTCGTACTTAGTATTTAATTTTACACACTCACCAGCTATGTTACTGTCTTGGAGGTATGAGGTAATTTCATCAGGTTTAGTGTCACTGGCCAATCTAGAAACGAACACCCAACTTTTTCTCTCAACCGCCCTAACCTTAGATTGGGAATTACTGGAATCGTTTAACTTACTCCCAATAATGATGGACTGCTTTCTATTGCTAGGTCGGGATTGTTTAGCCACTTTGGATTTCCACTCCTGATTACCAGATTTCGCGGTAGCCCTATCTCCAGCACCTTGTGTAGCCTGAGCATAGGACTTGGCCTTCACTGTAGGCCTATCAGATAACTTGGTGTTGTTTAGGTCTATGTTTATACACTCCTGAGAGGTTAATGGAAAGTCAGTTACTTGTACAGCAAGATCTTCCTCTTTGTTGAAAGACTCAGGTAAAACTAATTGACTAGATATATTAGCTTCTAGGCCAATATTGACATTAGGATCAACCGGCTTTGTATGTGAATCCAATATTAAATCTAGTTTGTTGTTGATGCAAGCATTATCAGATACAACTTTGTTAACAATTTTAAGTAAATTCACAATACTTGACTTAATTTCTTCAACATCTTCAGCCTTCTCAATGACTTTTTCAAACCTAACCTCACATGCACTACAAGCCCACTTGGACTTCTTACCTAATAAACTCATATAATTGTACTCTTCGCAACTTATTTGCACACATTCAGAATGATACCATTTACGGCAGAAAAATTCACAAAAAACTCCTTTACCATCATCTAAAACAGCATTTTTACAGACTGGACAGATATCTTCGTTCTGCCCACCAGCCATGACAGTTCCAACAGCCATGACAGTTGTTTTACAATGATTGCTGTTACAATGATTCGCGATGCTTTAATGGCCTTGTGTTAACAAAGTAAATAAAGTAAAATGTAAACAGTTTTAAAAGTTATGCAAGAAATCGAATAGATACACGATGCGTTGTGATGACACAGCTGCAAGTATTGGCAACATTTTAGTTCCAAAGATTAGCTGGCATACACTATAAGATATGTACGAACTTAATCACAAAGTTCACACTACTTCCACTCAGATTATCCACACACAATAAAAGTTTCAGAGAATCTTACCAGTCTTGACTTTAAATTCTGCAAGCTGTTGTTGCACGGACTTTGCAACGAGGTTCAAAGCTTTTGCTTAAAGCATCAGATTTTACAATAAGCATAGAAGTCTATTATTTTGCAGTACTAGAGGGGCTAACTAGTATCGTGGCATTTCATAATTTATTCTATTTGCATCTTAAAATTTACCTCTACATAAATACGCATTATTTCCATCAAAGTAAATATAATTTTCTTCGATGATTATTTCACGTCGATAACTAGGCGTAACGTTAAAATTTTTTAACCTAGTCGTTATAATATATTGAATGTCCTTTTAAGTAAGTTAGAGTTGTGGCTTAAGTCAAACAAAACACACTTAACATGATTACAAACTATTGAAATTACCTATCATATATGTATCATAAGGTAAACCATGAAAAACATCACACAACTCCTACCTTTTACTCCTAGCGGATGGTCACAAATCTTTACAGATATCTGTGCAAAACTTTTCTCCCTCGACCAAGATTTGCTCCGAGGGGGATGGAAAGCGAGGAATAACATTTTAAATATTAATGCTTCTGGGCTAGTGCTTTCCTGCTCTGAGAAACTAATGGTATGTACTTTAGGGACTTTCCCAACCATTTATAAACCTCGTTCGTTTATTTTTTTCTTATGATATCCCTGTAAAAGCTCTAGCTAAGCATTTTGTAAGTGGACTCTTTCAACATAAGAAATTTAAGTTTGTTTACAAATTGTACACGCCGTAGTTTTGTTTGTTACAACCCAAAGTAGTCCTTTTGTTAGAAAGCAACAATAATTCAACACCCAATTAAAATGTTTGAATTACAAAATTACTTAGTAAACTTTGACATTCATTTTCAACATTACGGTAGGTCTACAGTAGATGTTGAAACCGTTTCCTAAATCCAAATAGAAAAAATTTTAAATTAACTAATGTAGACATATTACAATCATTGAATTTTTAAATTAACACGCTTCAAATAGTAGTGAGGCTAGTGAGAGAGTGCATATTTAAAACTACTTAGCGTCTCCACAAAAGGAACATAACCAACCACAGATTTTTTAAATCTGCGATCAAACCAAGGAAACGATTTAAATGTGAGAACAAATTACATTACAATTTGCTTGAAGCCCATAAACTACTTTTTAAAACTTCTGTATTCCCTACTAATATATCCAAACGATACATACCGAACTAATAACCAATCTGTGATGGCTAATGACTACATTACCCAAGCTGGCGGGCGCCTACCTATGATTGACAGTAGATAATGATGGCTAGGAAGTCAGGTTACAAATATATTTGGGCCTAATGAATCGAGTAGGAGGACCGGCTCAGTGTAATCATCGACAACCTACACACTAGGCCTACTGCACGCTACTTCTAGGCCACCTGTCGACCTGCCGCCTAGAACACCTTACACAATACTAGCATATCCAAACGTAACATTTGGTTGAATAGTCAAGCCCTAATGTCAGTGAACTTAATACATTTCCTCAATGACTGAACGGTTATGGATAAGTTCTAACCATCAAACCAAATTTCAAAATATGTAAACATATTATGTAATCGAGTTTTTATCAAATTAATACAAAACCATCGATGCAAATACTACATCTATTTTTATCATTGTAGTAAACAGAAACCGGAACAGATATTCCCAGTTTTGTAAGATTTGCCAAAGCCAACAAAATAAGTAGGCTAATACTGTAACAAAAAATCTACTCCAGTAAAAAAAAACGAACCGCCTGAGCCTTTTTACAGATTTTTGAACTAAACTGTGTACTTGAGTAAAAAGTCAGAGCCAGTAAAACAGGTTAATACATTTGAAACCTATTTAGTATTACTTCATTCTTGTTTCATATCAAGTGGCAGGGAGACAATTTCTTCCCTATGTGTCTGATATTACTGTATATACAAAAACAAATATAACTTGTGATTTTTTCAACCTACCAAAGATATTACCATGGAAAGATTAACAATTGAAATTTAATCGTTACGTAGTCCCGGGGCTTAACAGTTGGTCTACAAAATAATCAGTTCAGTTAATTTTTCACTTCGTTCGTCCCTTACTTTGGTCGATACGTTCAAAAAACACACGCATCAGTGGGTCCATGTTCAAATAGCCGGAAAAACTCAAGCTTATAAGAGGCCGTTAACCTACTAAATAAATTATCATTTTCAAAATTTATTAACTTTTTCAACCACGTTGGAGTGTACAGTCTACTTTGTCACTGACGCCCGACAACATTGTGGACCACCGTCCGTTAATGGATAATGTATCCGTTAATTGCAACCTGATTAATGGCGGGAATTAACGCGGTTGGCGCGCTTTCTGCCACTCGTGCAGCACAAATTGTTTTTCTAGGACTACCAACATACCCCACCCGATCCAAAGAATCCATCTTGTTTTTTATGTAAAACTTAAAAGGTTATAAAAATACCGTTAAATACCTCTTTTAACATTTCCGACAAATCTACACTTAAACTATATTATGTGTTCTTTTAGTAAAGTAGTTAGATGTAATACCCTTATGATGACAATATTACGTATTGGCTATAAGTATATAATTTGTATAAATTTTATGTCATTATAATTTATTGATACACAATGGTGCCAACACGTAAAATTGTAACGAAGAATTTATTTAAAGCTTTGCATCTAAGCTACCTCCAAACAGAGCAAGATATGGATTACAGAATGTCATGTAAACCCCGCTCACGTATACCATAAGTTCCTCAAGTTCCGACGCGTTAGTTTGTATTCCAAGGATGGCGCTATTTCTATGTTTTTAGAATTCCATCCACTTTTCACCAACTTTATTACTTGGCAAGTGCGTCTGATACGATCAAATTTCCATTCGCTCCCTTATAAATGTTTAACTTTCATACCTCAAATAATATAACGTGTGATTAAATGCGACGGTTGAGTTCTAATCAATCATTTCATTCTACGACTTTTTAATCGGTCGTTTTTCAACCAAAAAGCATTTTTACGTATTTTAGTAAGGGGACGAAACCGGTACATTATGCAAATTCTGATCTTACTCCTATCATACAACTTTCTGTTTAAACCTCTGCTAGATAACTCTATGACACAATATCTTCTAGATATCCCAAAAAGTGTCTTTTCAGCCATTGAAAATTAGTGTTAGCTTCACCTCAATGGATAAATTGGAGCTCATGGTGCAAAGAGTCGTCTGCGAAACGAAGTGGTGATAGAGCACGCTTAGCAATCAGGAGGTTTCCGAATCGATCCAAGACGTTACAATCGTTTACTATCTCGAAACTCTCCTTCACACACTTTCGCCTTCATGTACCTTGGTATATCGACGTCGTAAAAGTATAATGCAAAAACATCTCAAAATATAGGCTCTGGTTATGAAATATACTGCACATAAATTAGCTTTTCAGACCACACCGGAGACTAAATATC